AGAGAACGCCGGGAATGTAGATTCCGGTAACGGTTTGAAGTACGAGAATCTTTTGGACGCGCAGATCGACGCCGTTTTCGCAGCTATGTCCGCCGTGGGATTCAACGACGTCAAGGTCGTGGTGACGGAGACTGGTTGGCCTTCCGCCGGAGATGAGAACGAGATCGGCGCCGGTTCGGATAACGCGGCTGCGTATAACGGCGGGTTAGTGAAGAGAGTGTTGACGGGAAACGGAACGCCGTTAAAACCTAAGGAGCCGCTTGACGTCTATCTGTTTGCTTTGTTTAACGAGAACCAGAAAACGGGGCCCACGTCAGAGAGAAACTACGGGTTGTTTTATCCCAATGAGAATAAAGTGTATGACGTTCCGTTTTCGGCTAAGTCTGCGCCGGTTAACGATAGTAAGGAGAAGGTCCCGGTTAAGTCACCGTCGTCGCACGTGGGACAGACGTGGTGTGTGGCGAATGGGAAAACGTCGAAGGAGAAGCTTCAGGAAGGTCTCGACTACGCTTGCGGCGAGGGAGGCGCTGATTGCCGTCCGATTCAGAAGGGTGCCACGTGTTACGATCCTGAATCGTTAGAGGCACACGCTTCTTATGCGTTTAACAGTTACTACCAGAAGAACGCACGTGGTGTTGGCACGTGTGATTTTGGTGGTGCAGCGTACGTGGTCTCGCAACCTCCTAGTACGTACACTATCCTTTCTCTCGAATCAGTTTTTAAGTTTTAACGTAATCATAACTAGTACAGAGTTTACGTATAGATTTTCACACTTTTTGGGGTCTAAATGTTTAATTATTACTATTTTATAACTAATAATCAGTTTTAGGTAAGATGGTATGACAAATAGGTAAGATGGTTAGACAAAAAAAGATGCTAGAAAATAATTATGGAGGTTGGGATAGTTGAACAACATAATTGAAATATATGCTATTTTTTCACAACATAATTATGGAAGATGGTAAGAAAATAACTATTCTATTTTAATAAAATTTCAACTATTAGGTTTTACGTATATACAAAGTATGATTAAATTGTGACGTTTAAACTGGAATATAAACTGAACCAATTTTGTGTTTTTGTTGTTGCTCTTTTCGTGTTTGTAGAGTACGGGAAATGCGAGTTTCCAACAGGGCACTGAAATGGAAAATGGAGGAGGATCTGGCGAATTAATTAATTAGTATTTTATCGTTATTTATTTGATACATTGTTTTCTCATTCGACTATATGATTATTTATATGCCTAGATTTGTTTTCGTTATTGTATATTTGGTTGGTCTCGTCCTAAAATATAGTCTCAGTATTTTTTTCTCCTAATTTAAACCTTTGCGACGTTTATACATCGAAATTGTTTGACCACTGCGATCGATAAACATTTTTGTACATTAACATCACCGTCACTGAGCATAACATGGAAGAATTCACAGTTTTCAGTTTTAAACAAGGCAAAATGTTTTCTATAAAATTGAAAAAAAAAACAATCTCGTGCTTTCCTACCCGTAAGAATATCCAAAATAAATGACCAAATAATCAATTAGGGTAAATTCATAAGGAAAAAGGTAATAAATAAAATAAACCAGACCAAAAACTTGGTGGACAAAGCTATTTCTCTGTATTAATTGAGATGTTTTTGGTGGAGACGAGATTTGTTTTTTTTTACTATGTTAATGAACGTACCTGGACTGATCTGGACAAGAGGGTACCTATGAACTTGGTGTATCCTCAATTTCATAATGATGAAAAAAATGCAAACGATCGGGGCATCATATGGGTGGATATAACTACTCTAAAGGACTATGGAATTATTAGAGATATGTTGGGCCGGAAGATGTGTATCTTACGGACCAAGATTACGAAGCCATAAAACACACGAAGATCCTCAAGACTAAAAGGAAAGATTTGAAGAGAAATTTAATCTCAAGATATTCTTAGCATATTTACATAAGTGTTTAGGAAAGTTAGCATTATCTAGTGTTAACATTATGTTAATGTCACCATTATATATAGGCATCTTGTACTCTTATATCAAACACAACACAATAATATCTACTCTATTAAAATAGAGTCATTCTTTTTATCTACTGATACAAGTTGTCATTTAAATTTGGACCTTTTCTAGAATGTTACAAATAATATAAGTCATATAATTGATTGAACCGTATTACTTAAATTAAACCAACATAATTAATGTAAAGAGACGACCTTAATGTAAATTACCTTCAAAATACGACAGGTATCTATGTGTATACCAAAAACACATATTTTCTCCTACAAATATGAAATGTTCTAAAAGAATATATATCATCAAAATATGGAATATGGAAATCTACTAATTATACTTAAATTAAACCAGTGGTTATTTATGGAATATAGTCTTGGGCTTACTTTTATTTTTTGAACAAATTATATAATTTGGTTTTTTGGCTTAGTATTAAGAAAAAACTCCAAAAATATTGAATAAACATTTCACCTTAAAATATCAAAAAAATCAATTATTATTTTCAGACCCAAAAGGTATTTAATATTTTTAACAAAACAAAATTATCTATTATTAATCATTTATTTAAATCATGTACTTTAAAACATGTTAATATATTTTTTTATTTTAAATAACAATCACTTTGTTCTGATAAATTTCAATGGTAACTTTTAAATAATTTATTGTTTTATTTTTCTTAAATAATTTACTGATTAAAAAAATGTAAAGTAAAACCAAAAACCAAATCTAAAAACTAAAATCCAAAATCAAAAGCTGAAAACACATGTTATATTTTTTTGCTTTGTTTATTTACAAAATAAACTATTTCAATTTTTTTTTAAAAAAAATTGTTATCATCTTTTCAGTTTTAAATTAGATGTTCGATTATTTGAGATTTGTTTGTTGGTAATATTAGTTCAAACTAACTCAGCGGGTTTAAAAATTAAAAACCCAAACCAAAAATTGAAAATGAAAAGTAGAAACTTAAAAACTAAAAACCAAAAACCAAAATCTAAAAATAAAAACTGAAACTAAAAACTAATTAAAAACAATCATCACCACAAATTTTGCTGAACTGATTTTATATCAAAATATTCTTTAAATTAAGACAAAACCCAATTCTATAAATTTTTAATCATAAAAAATTTCCGCGCTTTCAAGCGCGTGTCAAAATCTAGATTGATACAACAAGCCATAATAGTTAATTGAACCGCACTACTTAAATTAAACTGATGGTTATTTATGGAATATAGTCTTGGGCTTACTTTTGTTTTTAGGACAAATTATATGGTTTGATTTTTAGGCTTACTATTAAGGAAAAACTCTAAAAACATTGAATAAAAATTCTATCTTAATGGATCAAAAAATCAATTATTATTTTCAGGCCCAAATGTATTTAATATTTTTAACAAAACAAAATTGTCTATTATAAATCATTTATTTAAATTATGTACTTTAAAACACGTTATTGTATTTTTTATTTTAAATAACAATCACTTCTTTTTGATAAATTTCAATGATAACTTTCAATAAGTTATTGTTTTATTTTTCTTAAATAATTTACTGATTTAAAAAAAAAATGTAAAGCAAAACCAAAAACCAAATACAAAAACTAAAATCCAAAACCAAAAGCTGAAAACGCATTGTTATGGATAACATATTGTTATAGTTTTTGCTTTTGTTTATTTACAAAATAAACTATTGCAAATTTTTTTTGTCATCTTTTCAGTTTTAAATTAGATGTTCGATTGTTTGAGATTTGTTTGTTGGTAATATAAGTTTAAACTAACTCAGAGGATCTAAAAACTAAAAACCCAAACAAAAGCTGAAAATCAAAAATAGAAACTTAAAAAATAAAAACCAAAATCTAAAAATAAAAACTGAAACTAAAAACTAATGAAAAAAATCGTCACAACAAATTTTGGTAAACTGATTTTATACGAAAACATTCTTTAAATTAAGACATAACCCAATTATATAAATTTTAGTTATAAAAAATTTCCGCGCTTTCAAGCGCGGGTCAAAATCTAGTATCACATTATATTCTACTTTACATGGTATCAGAGCATTCGATTTTTAGGGATCAAAATTAAAGCTTCCGCAAGTTTTATAATTTGATGATGTTTATCATCGTTGGTGTTGGCGATGTTGAAGAAGGTGATGATACCGACGATGAAGACGCAATAACGTGGTCATGAGTCGTTAGTTTTGGTGTTTTTAGTTAATAATATTAATAGGTTTTGTTTCGTAAGTCAAAAGGGTTTTGTTTTCTTCTCTTTTCTAGTTTTGGTTTTGGTTTGGTGAGTGCAAGATTTATTAAAAGTCCGTAGTGGATTTCATGGGTTAGTTAATTGTTTGTGAGATATTCTAAGGTTTAGGATGTCTCAAAGATTTTGTTTTAATTATTCCATAGTTTGGAATAGTTTGGTTATAGTTTAACCATTACGGGGGAGTTTTTTAGTTATGCTTATGTCTTTAGGTCTTTGTTTTTTTAGTCCGTGTTGTGGACTGTCCAAGTCAAGGACAATTGTTTATGAAGCTGCAGTTGCACCCACGGGATGTATTCCCATTATCAAGACCAAAGAAGAGCTGGAGTTTTCATCCCTCCTTGTCTAAGTTAAAGTTTATTGTCGAAGGAATCTACTAATTTGTTTTCCTCGACATAGTGTCCACGACATACGTGGTCTGCTTTGTGATTGCAGATTTGCGTGTTGCATCCCACGTTTGTCGTGCGGGGGAGTATTAGAGATATGTTGGGCCGGAAGATGTGTATCTTACGGACCAAGATTGTGAAGCCCATGAAACCCATGAAGATCCTCAAGACTAAAAGGAAAGACTTGAAGAGCAAGTTAATCTCAAGATATTCTTAGCATATTTACATAAATGTTTAGGAAAGTTAGAATTATCTAGTGTTAACATTATGTTAATGTTACCATTATATATATGCATCTTGTACTCTTATATCAAACACAACACAATAATATATCACATTATATTCTACTTTCCTTCCTGCGTCTACAAGATGATCGAAACCCTGTTGCATCTGATATTGATCCTAAACGTATCCCAGCTGCCTCCTCTTGTGACTTTACCTCATTGCCAAACCAAAATCATCACCAATGTGTCAATGTCATCATCTTCTCCAGAGGACGATAAGGACTATATTGTGGCTGTCAAGTTCTTGGGACCTCAGCTCAGCTTTTGCAGGCCAGCTCGTAAGAGTAGTAAACCAGAGTGGACCAACATCAAGATCGAGAACCCCTGCTTCCACTCCTCCTGTGTCATGTATTCCAAGAAAGACAACGTGTTTGGTGTTCTTGGATCTGGAGGCCACGTCATCGCGTCATTGGATTTTTTCAGCAAGAGGGAGCACTTTGTGTAGTCACGATCCACCAGTGAGACTTTCTTGCTCAAATGGTACAAGAAGATGACCAAAGCTCTAATGTTCAAGTTAGACGATGACCCTAAGCTTCAGAGCGAGTGGTTTACAAACATTCCCGAGCTGACCGACGCTGAACAGAATCTTATGGATTCGTGCAGCAAGAGCGAGCACTTGTCGTTGAAACATTTCCTAAAGAACATATTATGTTTATGTAAGTAACAATCGAAGATTGCAAATAGAATTTTATTTTATCACCGCCGGTTAGATCTACTATGAAGTTATTTTCACTTACACCTCCCATTATAACATTATCCAGAGTTCCCAAAGGTTGAATCTTTTTTTTGTGTATAGTTGTTGATCACAAGTTTGTTCTCTTTCTGTTGTGTTATTTATCACAACAACTGTTTGGAAGTCCTTAAAGATTTTAACGATTTAAAATTAAAATGACAAACAAATGACTTTTAAGTATCATCTTGTTTGTGGTCATCGGTCACTAATAGTTTCTTGATACACAGTAAGTACCATTTGTCTCTAATGTATCTTTATTTTGAGAACTCTAGAACTTGGAATAGACTAGTTGGAGCATAGAGAGATAGTGATTTTCCATTATAGTTATTTCCTTTTTCTCCTTTATATGTATTGCTGTGGTTATAAGCATAAAATGTGTATTTGAGTAAAGATATATCATTAAGAGGACCTATTCAATTTCAAAATCAAAACAATAGTTAAAAAAAAACAAAAAAAAAACAGAGGGAAAACAAAAGCTAGCTTTATCCTTTTAAAAAAAAAAAAAAAACCCAAACTAGCTTTATCCATTTAGTATGATTCTTCATCTTTTGCCTTGATTATGTGCCTGGTTCAGCTATATATATCTTCTTCTTTTGCCTTGGGGATGTGACACAAACTTGGAACATAACTGAGGAGACATGGCAAAATCCAAGTATCATTTGCAACCTCACAAACATGTTTATGTAAATCCTCTCTAACAATGTAAATGTGATCACGATGGTTTAAGTCTCTAACACAAGATGCTACCACTTTATTCTCCTCGTCCACCCAAAAAGTCATCTCTTCCAGGTAACGTGGATACTTAAAGTTATTAAAACTGAATACTAAGAATTTGCTCCAAGACACTACTTTGGCTTCATCAACCTTATTGCTTAACCATATATGCATCTCTGTCATGAATGTTCCAATATTGTGATGTAACACTGCGAGGTGTTCTTCTCTAACAACAGATATAACCGAATATCTATGATCATCATACTGATGATCCGGAAGAGGAAAAGACACAAATACCTCCGTTGTGAAATTAAAACTGACTAGGACATTATGGCCAGCTTCTCTATCTAATTTGTGCATCCAGTAAGCATTGCCTTTCAACGACACAACATCGTCAGACCAATCTAACTTCCATTTATTAGTGACACCATCAAGAACCCTCCATGAATCAGAGTTAAAGTCATAATCTCATAATTAAGAACAAATTCCCGGCTGGTTTTGTAATCAGTGCTACACCTCAAAATCTTGTAGTTGTTGTGGCAAGAAGATTCGCTGTTTGCACATCCAAAAGCATAAGTATCAGCCCTCTGGCCAAGACTTAAGGGTTTGATACACCTGGTTTCACCCGTACAGGGGTTCCAAACCACAAGACATGTGAAATACTTCGTGAAACATAATATCAATCCGTTGCAGGGAAAGATTCGAGAAAACTCTACATCTTTTGAATCTTCTAGACAGGTAAGTTTACCTGTAAAATCAATGGACGCGTCGACGCTGTTAACGCTAATTGAATAAACCCTAAAGTCTAGAAGTAGCATCATCTCTTTCGATGCTTTACACAAGTTGTTGTTCTTCTTCACGAACTTTGGATCTTTGAGTAAAGCGTACCATCGTTTGCAAGTAGTTTGTAGTTTTGCTAGAGACTTGGACGGAACCCTAGCGAGTATTTCAGATTCCAAATCATGGGGAAGATCGGATATCATAATAGTCTTCTTCTGTTTAACCCATAAAATGTTGAGATGAAGCAAAAATAAGCAACTACAATTGGATACAAGGTTTAAATAAGCAACTACAATTGGATACAAGATGACTTGAGAGGCAACTAAAAGAGAGAGGCGACCAGGAAGCATTTGTTAGGTTTGCCTCAGCATAAATATCTCCTCCCTAAGTTCTGGAATCATTTAAATAATGGAGGAGGCTGTTGGGAATGCTACAAAGGAAGGTCACATGTCTTGGTGAAGAAAGAGAGTGGTTGGAGAGATGTCCCTTTCACTCCTTCTGTCTGTGCCAGCCTATGGACTTGGAGCTCTTTATTTATTGTTTTATGTTGTCCTCTTGTGTCTATTGCTAGTCTATATTAATGTTGTATCC